GCTGGATTAATTAATATGTATGAGTTTATTTGGAGATGTTTTAGGAGGGTCAATCCAGACAATGGAAACAGTACATACAGAGACCATGCATCCAGACAAAGTGTTGGGAAAAAAATGGTTCAGTATGAAAGTATTTGAAAGATTGTTATCAGACAGTCTATCTAAAGATGTCTAGATATCTTTAAAGATTTGTATCTTTTTCCTAAGAGCAATGCAAGTCTACTGAAAATCTTTCAACTGTGGCAGGTCAGATTTTCTCTACAGAAAGGTAGAGAAGAGGAAAGATAGATTTCATGTACACTGATAAGAAGCCTGGAAAGCAATGATGAGAGCTGTAAATAGTAGAGAAGTGAAAGGATATTAAGATTCCTAGGAAGTAAAATAAGTAATGAGGACACTATGAAGACTTAAGTAGAAAGATATTCATCGAGGCAGGAGACATTGGGAGAAGACTGGTTAGAGTTGAATATAATGAATATGATCTTGGCCATGTTAAATTTGAGATGTTTTGGAGACATTTAGCAGAAATGTCAAGTATGTGGTTGCACAAATCAGTCTTGACTCCAATACTCAACTTGAAATAAAATTTATAAATCTATATGTAAATGAGAACCTTGGAAGTTATGGACATGAATGGGATCACCTCGACAGAGAATCTTGAATGAGAAAAGAGTATAGGCCAAAAGACAGAGGATTGTCTACATGATCTTGAAAAAGAAACTGAGAAAGAGGCTTATATTATATCATGAAATCCAAGGCAAAGAATCTTTATGATGGAAGGAGCAATCATCACTCTCAAATGTTGTCAAGAAGCCTAAACAGATGAGCACTAAATTGTGTCCATTTGGTTCGGCAATGTAAAGATTAAGACAGGCTGTGTCCACTGAGTATAAGTACTCAACGATAGGGGTACAAAAGAATTTTCCCAGTGTGACTGAGAGCTGTGGAAATAGAGATAAATCTTTAAGTAAACTGACTATGAAAAAAAGAGAGAACAGATAATAATGAGAATCAGAGGTCATAGAGAGTAAAAGGAAAGGCTTTTCTCTTTTTGTTTTTATTCTAATGAACAAGAGTTCAATAATCTTTTCATAGGAAATCTATGAAAATGATGATGTTTATAGGATGATGTTGAATACATGAGGCAGGAATTTAAGTATCTTAAAGAGAGGGGATTGGCCTCAGACAGGAAGGAGGACAGCTCCTCTGTTGTAAACATAGGCTAAATAGAGACTGGGTGTGGGATATAGGCTGAGAGGTGAAAATAAGTGTGAATTTTAATCTACCTTCTATGTTTACTACATAATAGCAGTGGAGGTCATCCTCCAAGAGATAGGGTGGAAGTGAAAACATTAAAGGTTTCAAAAGAGTAGAGTTTTGAAAAGCCATTGTACGAAACTGGACAAGTGAATTGACATACATACATACATCTATAATAATAAAAACGTAATATGCAAATTGACTAAAAAGCCAAACAGAGGAACGACCATCCGGATGACCACGCTATGCCACCCACTGGCGCCAGGCCAGCCAATGCCGGTGTGATGTGATTGGTCGGGGGCCCGGCCATGGCCCCATGATCGCCCTGCAGAGGGAGGCCCAGTCCACTGGCTGGATAGGTGATCAATAGGGAGCTCCACAATCAGCCCAAAGAGGGAGGCTCAGGCCACCAATTGGCGAACTGCGGCAGATGGGTGGGGCCTACCTGTTTGGGGGAATTGATGGAGGGGCCCCATGATCAATCGCCCCAAAGAGGGAGGCCCAGACTACCCAGCCGGTGGCACTGTGGCGGGTAGCCTGGGCCTCCCTCTGTGGAGGTGATAGATTGCAGATCCCTGGCCAGGTGGGCAGGGCCTACCTCTTTGGGGCAATTGATTGTGGGGCTCCCAGACTGTAAGAGGGCGCAGGCCAGGCTGAGGGACCACCCACCCCCCCCCCCACCCCCAGTGCATGAATTTCGTCCACCCAGCCTCTAGAATGTAAATAAGAAAGATATTTAGCTAGCTAGATGATGATAGATGATGATGATAGATAGATAGATAGATAGATAGATAGATAGATAGATAGATAGATAGATAGATGATAGATAAATGTAGTAATGATTATCTCTGATCATTTTTGGTTGTTCGGATATAATCAAGAAGTTTTACAGCCATCTTTGGGGATGAGTGGTTCTTGGCTTTTTTTCTGCCTAAATACAACTTCTCTAATATAAGTAAGGACCATCACATACTTATATCAAACACAGTGGTCTGCTATCTCATTGTTTCTAAAGCAGGGGTCCTCAAACTTTTTAAACAGGGGGCCAGTTCACTGTCCCTCAGACTATTGGAGGGCCGGACTATAATTTAAAAAAAACAACTATGAACAAATTCAGCAACAGGCAGCGGCAGCAAAAACACCCAGTGGTCCGGATAAATGTTTTCGGCGGGCCCCATGTGGCCTGCAGGCCATAGTTTGAGGACCCCTGTTCTAAAGGATGGACTGAAGCACTTCCTTAGGATGGTATATATAAACCTCAGAAAGGGGGAAATGTGTGTGCATGTATATATATACTGTGTCCATGTAAATATATTTCTTGGAAAAGCCCATTATACAGACTGGGGGAAAAGTAGGTTTACTGTTATTCATATGGAAAAAATACAATAATTAATTAATAATTATACAAGGATAAACTCTGTGTTTCATGTACTAACAACTGTAAACCTCCTTTTCCCCCACGCTGTGTGATTCCGATATGCCCTCCACAGGGAGACTGGGAATTTCTTCTTGAGAACAAAATAAGTAAGTGTTGAGAGTGAACCAGGAAGGTCTCTGTAGAAATATGACAAACTATTATATTTAATAAATATTTTAGCACATGCAATACAATTAGCTACCTTTTAAAAAAATTAAAAACACATTATTCTATAGATATCATTCTTTTTCTCATGATATAAATTCACTTTGTGTTACTACAGGTCTCTACTTGAAAAGCAGTATATTACAATTCCTATTCATAATCATTTTGATCCAAAACATTTAATTATTTATCAGCAAACTATTAATCAACATTTAAAATAATCAACATGTTGTCAGTAAATATCTCCTTAGGTCGAATTTCCTGACTTTAATTGAGTCATAAAATGCTTGGGTCACAATACATCAATTAGTAAATTACTGATCCATAGCACTTTACTGTCCTGAAAAAGTAAATGTACCTTCTGAGAGCTTGATTGATTCCTGGAGAGTTATTTATTCAGCATTAAGATCACAGTAGTCATAGTGAACATAGTTATATTTATTTCATAAATAGATAAACTGAAGCTCGGAAAGTTAGAACTGGAGAGCTAAGGATCCAGGTTAGATTTTCAATCTGAAAAAGCCCAGTTCCTAATATCTAGCTATAAAAAATAAATACATGAGTTTGAAAGCAGTCATAAATATTTCTCTATAAGTCCATTTTCATATAGTAATTATTAAGTTTACTACTTCTCAGTTAATTCTAAACTCATGGTACTGAAATTAATATGGCTTTGTTGCATTGTAAATATTACACTTTCTAAAAACAACGTTTCAGACTTTCTTAAGTAAACAATTATACTTAAACAATTATACTACCTACAATATGGTCTTTTAGAAAATGAATGATTTCTTGAAGTATGGTAAAGTGTTATGAGCACAGGCTTTGGAATAAGAAAAACATAGCTTTAATATGACTTCTATACTTATTAAGTGCAGGAACAGAATATGTATGTATATATGTAAATACATTTTAAATATATTCTAACTAAATATTAAATTTTTGTGACTATGTCTTCAGAGATTAGATTTATCTGAGTTGGTTTAGCATTATACTAGACATGTTATTTTTCATTTGTTCTTGTCCCCAAAAGCAAAAACATCAGTTTCCATATTGTTTCATAAAACAATAAAAAAGAAAAATAATGAAAATGTTCAACAAATAATTTACTATTGTTTGCATTTGTCTGGAAGGAGTTTCCCACAGCTTTAATCACAGCTACAGATCATTACTTCAAAGACTTCATCTTTTATATATTTAAATATGTTTTTCATGTCATAGAATTTAAATTTGAAGTCATTTTTTAGTGTTCGCACTGCAATTCTGCTATGCACTTTAAACAAATAAAATAGCATATGCTATAATTTTGAGGGCTGTCACTCCATCTAGGGTGACACAAACTGAGTGAGATGAGAGGATATAACTCCAAGAAGAATTATTTTTTTTCTTAATTTTTAGTTGTTCATTAAAATGTTTCTGAGGTTTATTCAATAAGATCATGGTAGAGACCTCTGGTATATGACATACCTTAGTGCTATGTGAAAGCTCTAACAGACTAATATGTTTAGAGCTCAGTAATATAAATTTTGATACAGAGAAATCTAAACAAAGGGTAAAATGCTATGTTAAGTTTTTAAAATAAACTACCTAATAATACATGTTAGAGACATATTGAATATCTCAGGAACATTTTCTCAGAAAGAATCTTTTAGAAGAAGTTTTGCCTTTGTTACTGTGTTAATGAAGACTTTGATAAAATGACCCCAGGAAAAAAGACAATTTCCTTCAGGTATTATCTACATCTAAAATATTCTTCTTAGGCTGGTCCGAGTGCAGTGGTGTCTTACAACTAATTGATCACAGCCAGTTACAGATTTCTTTGTTCCTTCTCCACTCCCACTGCTTCACTTGACTAGCCTAAAAATAATAATAATAATAATAAATATTCTTCACTGATTTCACATGCTTATTTCACTAGTGATATGAACAAGGTAATTTGTCTGACTCTGGTGGGGCATAGTTTGCAGTAAGAAATTCAAAATTCACACACAACTCTCCTCTAAGAAGTCTCTGCAGTGTTTTTCAGTTTATATATAAAAAAAGATTTAAGATGTTGCCTGAGGCATCTAATTTTTTTTTCCTCAAGGCAAGCCAAAATGTCACAAATCAAATTGTTTTTCACACTCTTAATGAATTCTTCTCTCTTTCAATTTCTCAGAGAGCGGACATAGGGATTTCTGCTTTAACCATCACCCCAGATCGAGAGAATGTGGTGGACTTTACAACACGTTACATGGACTACTCAGTGGGAGTACTACTTCGAAGAGCTGAAAAGACAGTGGATATGTTTGCCTGTCTTGCACCATTCGATCTCTCTCTATGGGCTTGCATTGCTGGCACAGTCCTTCTTGTGGGGCTTCTGGTCTACCTTTTGAATTGGCTTAATCCCCCACGATTACAAATGGGATCAATGAGTTCTACTACTCTCTACAACTCCATGTGGTTTGTGTATGGATCCTTTGTACAGCAAGGTAAGGAGAAAAAATTACATTTTTATATGAAAAAGGAATGTGATGCTTCAATTGCCATGATTTCAGTTAAGATGTGTTGTATCTGTATCTGACATTGGTAAGTGTTCAAATGGTCTTCACAGTCATGCTTCGAACAGAGCATTTCCTTCTTTTTCCTAGTGGATCTCAAACACAGCAGGTTTTCAACAAAAAACTAGTTCATTATCTTTTGATGTTTAGTTCAATATCATCACCAAAGCCAAAAAAATAAATGTCAGAGGTAAGGTTCACAAGAAACTCAGAATCCTCCCTAAACTCTGACATTCTGAGAAATAGCCTTATTGGAATGAAACTACTTACTGGAGCACATACTAGTTAATTATTTACATCTGTAAGAGAGGCTGGGACATGTTCTTTGTTCAGAGACATTATTTCATGTATTGAAAAATATTCATTGGCAGTGAAAAGACTTTGATTAAGATTCTTATAGTAAATTTTATATTTTATCTTTAATATATAATATTTAACAATGGTTTAACTTACAATTTCACTATATTCTAAAAAATGGGCATTGTTTTATATTCAATATCCAAGCTGCCCTGCTCTTTAAACTAGTGAATTCCTTGTCTTTGATCACTTTAGAATTAGAATAGTATTTATTGAACTTCTTAATTGAGACTACTACCACCATGGAAAATGAAATAATAAAATACATAGGCAATTAATAGTTTCTTGCAAACTTGTCACATGTATTGAAGAGGAGAAATATGTATCACAGTGGAGACATATGATGCTTTTGCCTTAATGTTTACAACTCTCGATAGCATCTTACTTTTTATACGTACTTGCTATTGGATCTTCCACTAAATTTTATTCTTTCTATTCTCATTTAACTAATCACAAGGTTTGTCTAGACCAGCGGTTCTCAACCTGTGGGTTGTGACCCCTCTGGGGGTCGAACAACCTTTTCACAGGGGTTGCCTAAGACCATCGGAAAACACATATATAATTACATATTGTTTTTATGATTAATCACTATGCTTTAATTATGTTCAATTTGTAACAATGAAAATACATCCTGCATATCAGACATTTACATTATGATTCATAACAGTAGCAAAATTACAGTTATGAAGTAGCAACGAAAATAATTTTATGGTTGGGGGTCACCATAACATGAGGAACTGTATTAAAGGGTCGCGTCATGAGGAAGGCTGAGAACCACTCTACACTCTTCGCCGCCACTTTCTCACTTCTAATCTATTTTGAAAACCTTTGTAAGTATGCTTCTCCCTCTGCCTTTCCTCAAGGGCTCTGACTTAGGTTACATTTGTCACAGACATTTTTAGTCAATGCATTAATCACTAACCCAGTAGATATTTAATTAATGCTATTTATTTAAGCTAGAACTTTGCTAGACACTGAGTATATAATTGTGAACAGAAGAGTTTTTGCCATCATTGAGCTACAAATCTAGTGTGACACAAACATGTAAACAAACAATTATAAGTACGATCAAAAGTGCTGTAATAGATGTAAGTACAATCTGCTATGAGAACAAAGGGATAGGAAGGATCAATATATCTTATGTGGCAAAGAAGGCTTTTGAATTAAACTACATATACAAAGACACAATAATGAACTATTTAAAGAGCTTGTTAGAAAAGAGGATGGAGAAAAGGAGACAGAGATGGGTAGGATAAAATTTAATATAAAGAAGTAAAAGAGAAATTAGGATAAATTGTGCAGTATAGAGCTGGTAAAGATGTGGTTGAAGATATATTTATTATTATCAAGAGCTTGAACTTGATTTTTACAGAAATAATCTGCTATTTAAAGGTATTAAATAAGGAAAAACATGTTCAAATTTGTACCATACAAATATTTTTATTATAATAGGTTGAAAGGGGTAATGTGGAAAGTGAATAAAATTTTAAGAGTATTATAATAACTAAGTAAGGAGTTTATGTGCTTCCACAAAGGTAAGGTGGCATTGGGAATCAAGAGAAGGCTATTTTGTGAATTGGAATCAATAGAACTTGATTAATTATATAATGGTATTGTGATTGATACTGAAGGAGGGGAATGAAGCAGTTTTATCCTAAGGTTCTGGATTGGGAAATTAGGTGTATTATATGATAATGTCTTTTAATGATAAAATGAAAAACAGAAAGAACAAGTGTGATGGGGAAGATGATACATTCATTTTGGTGCGTGTAGAGATATCTTTGAAACATCCATGGAAATATTTCTATTGTTTGTTAGTGGTTTGATATTTTTTTCAGAAGCACATGAAAGACATCTGGGCTAAATATATACTTAGAAGATATTAGCATGTAGGAGATAATTGAAGCTATAGAAGTAAGATCACACAGTGTATTTGTTCTAAACTGCATATTCCTAATTGAGGACCACTGGCTCAGAAAGGGCCTAAGAAGTGCCCTAAGGAAAAGAATGGGTAGAGGAGCTTTCAATAGTAACTGATAAGGAGTGATGGAAAGATACAAGTACCATGCATATATAGCATGCAGTGGAATACACACCAAATAAAACCAGTATTTAAAGATGGAGCGTTTGGTCCTCTGTGTTAAACATTTCAAATAATCAAGTAGAAAGGTGTTTATTGGATTTAGCTTGCTTTTGGTAGTGTTCCAGTGACTATAACTACATAATAAACTCCTCCAAAACCTTCTGATTCTGTGGGTCAGAATTTAGACAAGACATAATTAGGATGGATTGTCTTTACTCAATGATGTCTGAGATCTCAGTTACACAACTCAAAGTCTGGAAGCTGAACTCATGTCTGGTAGTTGATGCTGGTTGAGGACTAGTAGCCTCAGTTTTCTTTTATTTTCTCTTGTCATGGGACAGTTTGGTCTTTCCCACAACATGATGGTGATTTCTTCACAGAAATTATTCCAAAAGGAGAGAAAAGAGTGAATGAAACAGAAGAATTTTGTGGTCTGTTAGGGACTACAAACCTGTATGATGGTGTGAGTTCCTTTTCCAAGGAACATCCTGGCTGTGCCCACTTCATGGCTCTGTTATGAGAATAAAAATGTTTAAAAATCATGACATTATTAGATAAAATAGCTTATATACGTGTCACATGAGTGTTTGCTAAATAAATTAAACATAAAAACAAATTAGGTTCAGCCTTGGATAGTTAGGCACATGAGAAATGTGCTTAAGAAAGCAAATGGTTTTAGATTATTGGTGAGATAATGGTAGATTCTGGGGTGCAGAGAGCAATGAAAATAAAATAGAAAGACCAATAATGAGAATATAGTAAAGAGCGAGACTGGAAAGTAATAATATAGCATTGAGAGAGCATAGAGTTCTTGATGAGACTAAAGAACAAAAGTAGAAACAATTTGAAGAATTTGAAGTTTGTATTTATAAAATGAGACTAAAATAGGACAGTAGAGGAGAAGTTATAGGTGTGTGGATGTGGATTCTTGAAGTTAAGAGTTGGTAAAAAGTTTCAAAGCTGATCAATAAATTGAGAGCCCAGAGAATTAGATGAACCATCTGTAGTAATGGCAGCTTGGACTGGAGAGGAAGGAAATGGGCCATGTGCCAATGTTGTCAATAAATGAGGGGAGAGAACTAAGATGTTGATAGACATGTGCATTGGCTAAAAATAAAAGAAGGTATAGCTAGATGTTGTTAACCTCTGTTTTCATGTTATTATTTCCATTTCATCCAATTTTATGTATATGGTTTTAATGATCATCAATATGCAGATAACTCCCAAATTTACATCACATCCTTGAATTTTAGTTGTGCATACCTAACTGCTCACTAGACCACTCTCTGGATATATATCACAAATTTCAACATGCCAATAATTGAATGATTTTATACTTTTAACTTTTGTAGTCTCTGTTATCTCGATTCCAGCTGATGTATTACCAACCACTCAAACATATATGTTCAAAACTTTGAAAACAGTTAGATTTTCCTTTTTCTTTCTTAAGCTTATATTCAACCATAGTGAAGGTCTGCAAAATTTATCTCCTACATATTTCCAGGGGTATAAATCTCTTCTCACCTAAGAGGGACAAGGTCTAGATCAGGGGTGGGCAACCCCTGACACACGTGCCAAACATGGCATGCCAGTAACTTTTGCTGGCACACGAAACCCTCTCTTAAAATCTTCCATTTACAATTGTGAATATTTGTTCTCAGTGATGAATTTTGTTAAGTCTCATAATAGGAGTAGCCTGACGGATGAAAGTAGTAGCTCATGCATATCTCTGAAGGTCACAAAATATAAGCCTGATGTAAAATCTCTGTCATCAGTGATGCAGCAGCAAAAGTCCCACTGATAATATCAAACCGAGTCATAAAGTTTTCTGTCGGACTATCAGTGTACATGTATACATTAAAAAATAAATGTATTTTTCATCATCATATACTGTGTTTTTGTCACTTGAATGAATTTTATTATTTTTTCAAGGTTCTTCACATACGTACACCTTAAGAGATATCAAGTAGGCGTAACATGTTCTCAAAAAATTAGGGCTGGCATGCAAAAGAATTTGAGTCAGAGATTTTGATGATTTTGTCACGCACTTACAAAAAGGTTGCCCACCCCTGGCCCAAATTGTTTCCTAGATGAGGCCAGTTGCATTTCTCATTGGAACTGTAGGAATCTCCTAATAGTCTTTTATAATTTTGTTCCCTGAAAATATATGCTCCACATACTTGCATAGATATCCAAGTTGCTACTGTCATGGAGAGGGCTTTCTACATAATTCCCATTCTTCAAATATTTTCTTGGCTTCCCAATCATTACCTTTTAAAAGTTATTCAGAGCATGAACAATGTTCTACCATGTGGCTGTTGTTCAGTGCTCAGTTCTACTCTCTTATCACTCATATAGCGCATTTAATTGTCCAGTTACTCCAAATTGTTTTGTCTCTTGAACACAAGACAAGACTCTGTAATGTCTCTCTGCTTTGCTTCTGTTTCTTCCAATTCCTGAAATGTCTTCATTACCTGCTTAATCTCTATCC